CATTTCTCTGTGAGGAAGAGCTGCCAGGAACATTCTGATGAAGTGCTCAGGAAACAGAGTCTGATACTTTGGAGCCCAACAGAAGTGCTGTTCTCAAAGCTCGTGTGACGCTGAGGCCACTTGTGCACTCCCAGGGGTGCCAAGCTCATTAACTGTGACAAGTGTGTCTCGGGCTCCTGAGGTCAGCAGGGAGAGAATTGTTTGGCCCAGGAGCTCTCCGTGCCTTCTCAGAAAACTATGTAAACTCCTGTCCCCTCTCACTCTGAGGACTCCCTGTCATGCCAGGGTCCCCAAATGCGGAAAATCCAGGTGAATTCAGCATTTATAAGTGAGACTTTTTTCATGCTTTTTAATTTTTTTTCCTTTTACCACCCTCCATCCCTTTATGTGCTATTTCCTTGTGAAGATGGAAAGCAAATGTATCAACATTCTTAGGAGGCTGGAGACTTCTCGTGTTTTGTCCTGCACTCTGACAACACTGGATGAACCAGACCTTGAAGGACTCTCACAACTGTGAATTCCTCTCAGTATAAAATGGAGGACAAACTATGACCTCTGAGTGTATCATTTTCTCCTCTAACCAAAGAACTCCCTCTACATTTTGAAAAGTCTCTTTATTCTCTCACCCTAGTGTAGTTGCACGAGGTTCCTGTGTTTTGCTGGTAAGTTTTGTTTTACGGAGTCCCCTGTAACCTTAGCAACATGCATTTATATTTTTTCTCAAAATTACACAACTCTGTTGATTTGGCTTGAACAACTGTTCTGTGAAGATAACTGTTTTCATGTGCATATAATGAGTCAATGATGTGATGTGTCTACATCAAAACAGAAAATAGTGTTCTCGTGCTGTCATGAGCGGACAGCATTTCCTTCACCTATGTATTATAATGGGCTCCATTAATGACAGCTAGAAAATGCAAAAAGAAAATAAGGCCGGTTGAAAGTAATTATGAAACCATACCTAGAATCAAGGAAATTTTTCAGTACTAGAAAACTGCACCTACAGTTCACTGTTGTGATTGCATCTTAAACTGAACATTGCAGAAACCATTCTAAGTGCGAGGACTTGAGGACTTTGGCAAAGAGGCCATAGATGAATGCACATGTGAATTGGGGGTGCAGAACCTGCAAAAGAACACAGGGTGACTCCAGTGGTACTACATTATGAAGGTTCAACATTCAAAGGGAAGAAATTTGCAAGCTCCCCAGACCAACCCCTGTAGGACAAGGGACTCCAAAATTAACCTCCCTTTCCTGTCTCAAGCCCTCCTTTTCCTGTCCCAAGCCCTCATTTTCCTGTCCCAAGCCCTCCCTTCCTGCCCTAAGCACAATAAAAATTCCAATTGTGCTGAGCCTCCTGGGATTCCCCAGACCCGCTCTGTTGGACTGCAAGTTCTCGCCCAGGAGCGAATCTCAATAAAGCCTCCTTTAGCAGCCTTTTAATCTGCCTCCTTTTGGTCACCTGTGCTTGACCTTACAACTTCCAATCACAGCAACGTGGGAGGAAGGAATTTGTGGTACAGGAACTCAAGCAGCCATGTGTCCCTTGTGAAGCAGGAGTGGCCATCTGTGGGTGTCGGGGTGGAACACATGCATTCCCTTTCCCGGTGATGAGAGGTAATTGAAGTCAGCCTGAGAGGTTTTATCAGATAAATTCTTGCCAATGTTGTCCTGTATATTTTTTCTCTTGTTCTTGTTATTTGCAGGCTGAGCATATCTATGGCCCTGAAAGATATTTAGATTTTCTTCAGGCTTAATGACAATATATGCACTTTCCTGAGAATTTCTGTGAAACGCCATTTTCTTCATGTAAGGAAATATTCTGTGGAAAAGGTAACAGGATCTGACTGTGGAAGTTTCTTCACTCTCTGGATTGTCTGGGTTTATATACCTGAAGAACAGCAGATATTTGCAATTCAAATCCATGCATCTTAGTAGCATATGTTGATTGCTTCAATGAAGAGACTGGGGACTCTCACATATTTACTAATAGTTTTGAAATAATTCACACACATATGTATAACACTGACATTTTACTTTCCACTGTAGGAAATATTTTCACCTGTAGCTAAAAATTTCTTTTTTTTTTTTTAAAGAGAGAGTGAGAGAGAGAGGGGGACAGAGAGAGAGAATTTTAACATTTATTTACTTTTTTCTTAGTTCTCGGCGGACACAACATCTTTGTTTTGTATGTGGAGCTGAGGATCGAACCCGGGCCGCACGCACGCTAGGCGAGCGCGCTATGGCTTGAGCCACATCCCAGCCCAAAATTTCTTAATTTAATTCTAAAGTAGCCTGAATATTTTGTGATCCCAACCTAATAGGAGCAGGTACCAAGTTCATAGTGCTTGAGAGGAGTCCAAGGCCACAGGATTCATCAGTGTCACAACAGAAGAACTTGGTTCATCTAATGTGACTCTGTCTCACTGCACGTCTGCTCCTTGACTGCAGGAGTGGATCCTGTGTAAAGGGGCTCACTCCAGATGCTTCCTGATACATTCTTAAGTACTAAGCCACATCAAAAGCAACTGACACCCAGCTATTCAACCAGTTCAGATTCTCTGCTCCCCCAGAGTGTATGATCTAACCAGGTGTTTGATTTAGAGTCCCAGTTCACACTGAGGAAGACTGCTGTCTGACAAGTTAGACCTCTGAGAGCAAGCAACAGAAGACTGCCAAGCTGGAGGAAGGACCAGCCCTTAGAATTAGCCCTGGCATTTCACCTCTAGGCACACACAGCAAGCTGACAAAGAAATAGGAGGCACAGCAGACAAAGTTTTAAAGAATATTTAGGAGTGAGTAGGAACAGAGCAGAGAATGGCATTTGACTACACTACAACACTTGGTTCTCTGTGTTATTGAGGTTTTAGAGTATGACAGCAGTTAAGTGAACCAAGACTGCTGTCTGGACATCCCATGAGTGGAAAGCATTTCCCTTAACATGTGTATTATAATGGGCTCCATTAATGATGGCTAGAGAATACAAAAAAAAAAAAATAAAGACTATTGTAAATAATTATGAAACTGAACCTAGTATCAAGGAAATTTATGAAAACTGGCGCTAAAGATTATAAAATTAGAAAAATTAAATAAATGTGGTCAACATTATTTGCACTCTTAAGAAATAGCAGTTCTGATTAAAATAACTTATGGTATCTCTCAATTATGAATAATTTTCACAGATCAAGTGAATGATTATGTTATCTGGAGCTCAGCCAGGGACCCTGCCTGGACCCTAGCTGGCAGGATTCAATTATCCATCTACATAAGAAAATGTTACAAAAGGAAAAAATTAATTTTATGTACTTTGACAAAGCTGGGGAGAAGCAGCTATGTCGTTTCTCTCTGGTCCCATAGAAGCATAACTTGATAGAACCAAAGCCAGGAGTTCCAAGTGCAGAGATTTAGTTAGGCTGGCCTGGCCAGAGATCATGGCAGTCTCAGTTTCCTGGATGCCCCCTGAGACCATAGTTAGTTTTTCAGTTTTTGGCTGTCAGCATGAGGAAGTTAGCAGATACAGAGAAACAATTGTCAGAAATTGCTTTTACTTTTAGCTGGGCGCAGTGGTGCATGCCTATAATCCCCAAAACTCGGGAGGCTGAGGCAGGAGGAAGGCAAGTTTAAGACAAGCCTAGCAACTTAGTGAGTCCTTGTCTGGAAATAAAAGTTAAAATGGGCTGGGGATCAGCCTAGGGGTAAAGTGTCCCTGGGTTCAATCCCCAGTGCCAAAAAAGAAAAAAAAATTAAAGGGACTCTGTTTCAATTGCATAAAGCTAAAAATGTAACAGACCACTTGGCTGTCATGTTTTACTTGATAGCTGCAATCACTATCTAGCTATTGTCCTGTGTGATGGGTGAGAACACCAAGGGAACTGACACCACCCAGGGCACCCTTCCCCCACTAATTGATGGTTTGCCATTGACACTTGGTCACTGGTGGAAGAGGGCCTTTACAGCTCCTCTCTTCCTGGTTTGACTGCAGACCAAAGAGCCAATAGGTGTGGAGATCCTTCAGCTCAGCTTGGCACAGGGTGATTTCACAATGGTGTCAATACTGTTCAGTGGTGTGCTTCTGTGCCACTGACTCTGAGGCTCACAGATTTGGAGTGTTTAGAGGAGCCGTGGATTAGTTTGGTCAAATTAACTCAGTTCAGAAAAATATCTATCATGCATTCAGCCTTAAAATAAATGGAAGACCATTCTTTACTTTCATAAAGTTTGTAGGGATTTCTTTGTTTTTCTTCATCAAAACCTGAAATTACAAGAGACACACTAAGTTTTTCCTAACCAAGAAATACTTAAAATTTTAAAATTTCCAAAAGTGCATGTGCTTTATAGCCTAATATGTATTTCCTTGTGTTTTTACTCTGAATCATTCTTGATAGCACTAATTGCTAATTCTCAGGCTTCTCAATCCTAATATCAATTCCTCATTATCCTGAAATTAACATTAACATTTCTGTCTTAAAAATAAACAAAGAAAAGTTAGCAATAGTCTCCTATAGTGGATGATCCTTTTGCATCTGAATTTGCAAGAGTGATTCACATTCTCCCATTCACTTATCCCACACAATTTGCCCACAACATGGGTGAACTGACACTAAGTGTATTCTCAAGATGGAACCTTTGACTCCTGTGACCCTCAAGATGTAGCCTGTGACTCCTTGACCCTCAACATGTAGCCTGTGACTCCTGTTACCCTCAACATGTAGCCTGTGACTCCCGTGACCCTCAAAATGTAGGTTGTGACTCCCGTGACTTTCAAGATGTACACTATAACTCCTGGACTGAGTGGGAGATTACCACCCATGTGGCTGAATGGCAGACAGACAACTCACAGGCAGATAAAGATGATTTGAAGATGATGGTTATGCTGACCATGACTGAGGGGCGTTTAACAACAGTCCCAGTTGATCTGTATTAACATGAGCTCACACTCATGTGTACACACACACACACACACACACACACACATACACACACAGAGGGAGCGACAACCATGGTACACTCAGTTGCTGCAGAGCATAGGTTACATCTTTATGTACTGTTACAAGTATTATCGTCATATAGTAGTATCTGCTGACATCTTGTCCAATATAGTTAATGAATTATGGCTTAATAATGATCAAATTTACTAAAAATCAGTATAGATTAACATTCAGATACAGATTAGTTGTTGCTTATCAGTTCTGAACTATTAAGAAAGCCATTTTAGACTGTTTCTTCCATCTCTTAGAAGTCTGATGCTTGACTTCTAATCCGAATGTTCTTGTTTTAATTCCCTGAGAAATGCCACCCTTCTACCTGGAAGACATTTGGCTACTCCCACCACTGCAGCCTCAATGGCAGGGGACAACGTGTCCTTCGCGGACTTCACCCTCGGGGGGCTGTTCGGCACCGAGGAAACTGGGGGCCTTGTCTTCGCGGTCATCTGTGTCGTCTTCTTCACGGCTCTGACGGCCAACCGGGTCATGGTCGTGCTGATCCGCGCTGACGCGCGCCTGTACACGCCCATGTACTTCCTGCTCAGCCACCTGTCGCTCATCGACATGCTGTGCATCTCCACCATCGTGCCCAAGATGCTGGTGGACTACCTGCGGGGCCAGAAGACCATCTCCTTTGCGGGCTGCACGGCGCAGCACTTCCTCTACCTGACGCTGGTGGGCGCCGAGTTCTTCCTGCTGGGCCTCATGGCCTACGACCGCTACGTGGCCATCTGCAGCCCGCTGCGCTACCCGGTGCTCATGAGCCGCCGCGTCTGCTGGCTGATCATCGCGGGCTCCTGGCTGGGGGGCTCGCTGGATGGCTTCCTGCTCACGCCCATCACCATGAGCTTCCGCTTCTGCGGCTCCCGGGAGATCGACCACTTCTTCTGCGAGGCGCCCGCGGTGCTGAGGCTGGCGTGCGCGGACACGGCGCTCTACGAGACGGTGATGTACGCGTGCTGCGTGCTGATGCTGCTGACGCCGTCCTCGGTGGTGGTCGCCTCCTACGCGCGGATCCTGGCCGCTGTCCCGCATGAGCTCGGCCGGCCGAGGGGAGGAGGAAGGCCTTCCCCACCTGCTCTTCCCACATGATCGTGGTGACCTTGTTCTACCGGGGGCCGCCATGTACACCTACATGGTGCCGCAGGCTTGCCACCAGCCAGCGCAGGACAAAGTCTTCTCCGTCTTCTACACGATCCTCACGCCCATGCTGAACCCGCTCATCTACAGCCTGAGGAACAAGGACGTGGCCTGCGCTCTGCAGAGGGCCCTGCGGAGACTCAGGAGACTCCGGGGCTCTCAAGGAGTGTCCCGAGAGGCCTTCTGACAGCCGGGTCTGGTCGTGCAGATGACAATGGGAACCCTGGCTTAGTGGCCGAAAGCAGCTAACTTGAAAGTGTGTCCCCTGTACTTCCCTCTCTCAGCTCTTTTTCTGTTCTTACATCTCCTTTTTGCCCTACTCAGTTCACATGTACGCAAAAATAAATACCTAGTGGTTTCCAGAAACAAAAGTTGGAAAATTTCCCCTGGGGTTTTACCTTCTGGAGGTATTTTAAGTCATACGTAATCGTCAATGGCATGGGCAGTAGTGAGCGAGTGCACTGCCTGTAATCCCAGCAACTACAGAGGCTAAGGCTGGAGGATGGAAAGTTCCAGGACTTAGAGAGCCCCTAAACAGCTTCGTGAGACCCTGTCTCAAAATGAAAAAAATAAAAAAGGGCTAGAGAGTGGCTCAGTGGTTAAGTGGCCCTGGCTTTAGTCCCTGGTACTAATAAATAAAGGGAATACAAGAGGGAAGATGGTTCTTTGGGATTTAGGACACTCGGGTGTAAGTCTAGCTCACTGTTGAAAGAGAAGAGGAACATCATCTTCTGAGAACCTTCCGGGCTCATTCATAGGTGGTAAGAAGAGCCACTGGGCAGTTTCCTCCAGTGGTCATTGTCTGCACCACAATTACTAGGTGCTCATTATTTCCTGTAAAAATTCAGCATTTAATTTTTGTTTGTAGCACATGAGTGAAAATGATCTGATAAGTTACAGCTGATGTATGAAAGTAAAGGGCACTGCCCAGAGGGCACATGAACACACTGTGGGAGGGGTCTCAAAACATTGGAGAAACATGCAAACCTGGGATGGGGAGATAGCAAATCACATTTCAAGTACATTAAGTGATCGCCAGTTAACCTGCCCAGGTGATAGAGGTCAGCTGAGTTCCTCTCCATCCCCCACTGATGCTGCAATTGAGGACAGAAGGCCTGTGGCAGGGACTGGGAAATGGCTCAGTGGTGGGGTGCTCGCCTAGTATACCTGGGTTCCCTTTCAGCACCTCCTGAAAAACATGTGGCAGGCCATGAGAAGTGCATCATGTGCCTATACAAAGAGTTCACTCTGGGGGAAAAGGGTGACTTTGCTCAGTTTCCAGTGTCCAGGTGGAAATGCTGTCATAAGAACTTAACCAAGGGCATAGCTAGAAGCACACTGGTCAGGCTCTCTGTGAAAGGTAACGATTCACATGCCTGTCAGTTCATCATTCTCTAAGCTCTGCATTGATACCTCTGGTTACTGGAGAAATGCTAAGGGGAGTATAGAGAGCAAGGTTTATTTCAAGGACAGAAACAGACTTCTCCCTGGAGGGAGAAGGGGGATATAGATGGTATCCAAAGAAGTGGGAGTGTCCTGCCCCTTTGTACATCTTAGATTTTCTCTGCTCTCGTGCCTTCCTTCCTCCTTATCTCTCACCAGCCTGTCTATGACCAGTGTCCAGGGTGAGCCAAATGATGAGGGCCAGTTGGGCAAGGAGAGGGCCAAATGGTGGAATGATCTAGCATTAAGGTAACAGCCAACTCTTAGGATTCCCTGCAAGGAACAGCCACTCCTGGGACAGGTTACCTTGGCAACAGGTTGGAGCAGGAACAGAGGGAAGGGCCTTGGAAAGAGGAGGGGGAAAAGGCAGCATTTGATTCACTTTCCAACTAGCCCCAACTTTCCTGATCGAACCCAATTATTTATTATCTATATTGACTGCCTTTTGTCCTCCAGCTTCATGATCATGAGTTCTCATTTGCAGGCAGGTGCAGTACAGTGTGTATCAAGCAAGGGACTTCTCTGGGGTGACGTGTGTGTGTGTGTGGGGGACACACACCTTGCTGCCTTTAAAGGACCTTGAATGATAGAACCATGTGTGCAGATGTAGCTCCCTGAGTCAGGCATTTATTCACATTATTCCTTATGGCTGTGAGCAAGACAAAGCACCTGCACTCAGGAAATTTTGTTATAGTAAAAACTATGAAAAGAGAGCAACCCAAACAGGAAAGCAAGGGGAGTAATTAGTACCCCAGTCAGTTTGTGTGTGGGAGTGTCCCAAGAAAGCAGGAAGCTAAAACTCCCAATCTCAGTGTTATGTTCTGACAAAAGAAAATTTAAAGACAGACATCAAAAGTCATGCAGGAGAACTTTATTATAGGTGACAGTAAAACAAAAGTGAAGCTTGAGCCGAGAGCACTCTCAAGGGAGAGAGTGGGCTGTCTCCAATCAGAGAATGACAGAGAAGACAATGCTGTCCCCAATTTCACTAGTGTTTGATGTTCAATAGGAGAGCTGGGGGCCCTCTTCTGTACTCTTTGCCAGTCCGGTGTTCAACTCTTCCTTCATGTTGGGAGATGGAGTTATGGATCTTACTCGGTCCTCTCTGGAACTGTCATAGTGGCCATTCTTTTTAGGGAGGTTTCATCTACAAGTCAATCCCATGTTAATGTGGGCACTGGGGTCAATAGCTGGTCAGAAGTTATCTTAGTGTGCCTGTGCTACTAATGGAATCTTCAATCCCAGAAAATTGAAGACACTTATGGCCATAATTCCTAGCTTCACATCAACCTCAGTGGACCCTGTCAATAATTAGTCCCATTAATCCTTTTCTCTTTTCGTGTCTTACAAAGAGCTCTCTTGCTTTGTTTGTTTTCCACAGATAAACTGCCACCATTTGATATCTTAAGATAGTTTAAAGTAGGACCTGAGGCAAGTTAAATAACACTTTGTGACCTTACCATGCATCTCACTGCCCACTGCTAGCTCCTACCTGACAGTAGCCGTGAAGACAGCTGAACATATCTGTGCCCTGAACCCAGCATGGCCACCCTTGAGTGGATTCCTAACAGACACCCGTGCATGATGTTCACCAAAGGATGTATAATAGCCCGCCAAATATGGAAGCTGCCTAGAGCCCAGGGAGAGTGAAATGGACAATTGCACATATTAGGTCCTTAGGGCAAAGTAACTCCATTATGAAAATCAGCACCTGTTCACAAAGGCATGACCTTTTCGTTAGGCCTGCCCCCAAAGAGTTTCTAACGATCAAAACCACAATAAAGATGCCAAGTAACAATTAACAATCACAGAACCAGAGAGGTTATTTTTTATTACTCCATATACATGAATATATACTTAGGAAGTTTGTTCTAGCAGACTGTTGTGCCTTGCAAAGGGCAGTCTGGGAGATATCCTCTGTCAATAAACCTTTGCTTGACTCAGAGATGTGTCTCTCATAGATATTTGCACCTGCTACCATAGCAACGCGTGGGACATGTTTACATAATACGCAGAAATGTTCTAATACTGCCTGCAATCACAGGGATTAGTCTCATGAACGCTAGGTGAACTTCAGTCACAGACAATACATGTGTGTTAAAGAGAGCTAACAAAATTGCCCACATTTTAGGAGGGTCAGCAGCTGGACAGCACATAGGCAGGCATCTGGTGGGAACTGTTAATTTCTGTTCCTTAATGGGAAAGCTGATTTCACACTAAGAGTTCGGTTTCGGAAAAGTGATCAAGTTCAAACTTTTTATATGTTTAATACTTTTTGTATTACATTGTACTTCCCACAATGGGGCAGTGGGAACTACATAATTAGGCCAGTATCCTCCCCAGCACTTTCCCCTCCTGGCACCCTTCCACCTGGTCCCTTTCCCCTACTGAACGCCTTTTGATTTTCATGAGATCTTTACTCCCACTTTCTATTTCTCTTTCCTCTCTAGCTGCTGCATATGAAAGAAAACACACCACTCTTGACCTTCTGTATTTAGCTTATTTATCTTAACATAATGCTCTCAAGTTCCATCCATTTTTCTGCAAATGGCACAACTGTATGCTTTTCTATGACTGACTAGAACCTCTGGGTATATATAGCACATTTTCTTGAGCCTCTCAGCCACTGACAAACACCTAGGCAGGTTCTATATTTTGATTATTGTGAATTGTGCTGTTAAAACGTGGGTATGCATGTCTCACTAGAGCATGCCAAATTTAATTATCCTCTCTAGGATAATGCTGAGAAGTAGCATACTTTGGTCATGTGGTGACACCCTTCCTAGTCTTGTGAGGCACCTCTATGCTGGTTTTCATATTGCTTAAGGGTGTCTTGCATTTTAAAGGCATTTTGTTCTCCAGCCCTCATGGGCCATTCAGGACCAGCATTCTGGCAGACACTGCTGGAGCAGATGCAGGGTATCTTCCAATTTGCTGCACCTTAGCCTATGTAAGACATCTGAAGTGCTGGTGTGTGCCCAACTGTGGAGAACTGGCTGTGTCCTCTTCTGGTTACTGCTGAAGTATAGAACAGGACTTTTCAGGCCTAAATCTGGGTTACTTCATTTTGCAAAGCAGTTAGCCATGAGCAATTCTATTTTTAGTTTAAGAATGACTCCACACCTTATTTGTACAAGCAAGCAGTCACCACCTGCCTGGCACAGCCATGAGACACAAACTGATAAAGAAACCATGCTAATAAGAATGACCACCCATGCACCACTTGTGAATTCATCATAAGCAAGGGATGCATGGGCGTGTCAGACTCATATCAGGAAACCCAGGCCAGGAGCTTTTCAAAACATCAGACCACCAAATGAAGTAGCCCCTCACTTGAGGCTTGTAAAAGGAGGAACATCCCAAGACTAGGCAGGGAAGCACCCTGACCAGTCACTTGGTTGCTCCTCAGGAGCCTTGCCCAGGACATTTGCCACAAGACAGACCTCTGGATCTCTGCTTCAGCACAGCATGGTTTCTCCTGCCCGTGTGACCACATACAACCCACTCCAAGCTGACATCTCCAGGGGCCCTGTGGAACCTCTGCCCTCTGAACCCTGGCCTAGAATAAGCTCTGGGCTTCACAGCTCTGTGCCTGAACAAGTTCTTGGCTAGTTCCTAATCTTACCTGACCACCTGTGGTGACTCTTTGCATCTGTATCTGCCCTCTGCCTTTGCTCTCAGCTCAGCCTCCTGGACCCCTGTGGCCACCTTAACCCTCTCTTATAATTTCTGTCACCTCTGTTTATCATTGTGTGAAGTGTGATGAGTGACTTCAATGTTCCAGACATTAGTAGTTAAGACTGGAATTAAAGAGCTCAGAATTGCCCAGCTTGTGACTACCAGGTGACCCATGAGTATCCAGTGACCTACTACTGCCCAAAGTGGGTAGCCTGTGAATTGATAGTTATTCAGTAAATTCTGACACTGTGGAGAGACTCGAATGTGTTTGTTAAGGGCACAGCTTTCTCATGACACCAACCCATTTGTTCTTTCAGGTTCAGGGAACAAAATGTCACAATTCTTGGTCTTTCTTCACATCTTTGTCTTTTTATACAAAATTTACCCAGAGTGGCTGCATCCCAATATGCTGTCCTTGCCCAACTTTTCTTCATTCAGAAGTAACCCTTGACTTGTTGGTTAGTAGTATGATATCATCTCTTACTGAATGAACCTGAGGAGCAGAGAAGGCCATCCCTGTTGCCATCCCTAGGTCAGATCCACTCCTCATGGCACAACTGCATGACAGCTGCTGTCACGTTATTCCTGTTGCTAAAACACATTTTTATCATTGGTGGCCAACACATTTGACAGAGATATGCCTTTTCTGCAACCCTGTCACTGAAATGAAGAAAGACATGCTATGATCTAATAAAAACTGACAGGTCATCCCACACTATCTCTGAACATATCCAAGAGGTGCATATGTTCATTACCTAAGAGAAAAATCATGAGAATTTATGAAATTTTTTAAAAGGGAATTTTAATACTGCTATATGTTTCCCTCTCCAATTCCAGGAATTTATTGACCCTCTGCAGTTACTCATAAACATGAAGGATCAGTAACACTGTAGAGAAATAAATGCAAGGCTAGAAGACCTGGCTGGCCCAGGGCTTCTTCTTGTGAGAGGAGGCTTAATATCCCCTCAGGGAGGCTGCCAAGGCTGTGGCTGAACAACTTCTGGACAGCAGCTAGGCTGTCCCTCTGTGCTGTGGCCAGTACCCAGCCACAAAATTTCAGAGACTCCAAGTGTCAGCTGGAAAGACCCCATCGAGGACCCAAAGCCCAGCGTGCTGAGCAGCATCCACAGGGGTCCTCCCTCAGCTCTGGCCCCAGGCTGTCCTGTGGGAACTAGGAGCCTAGTGCCTGGAACAGCCCATGCTAAGGCCTAAGCTCCCTTTGCAGCACAGGTCTGACTGCAGGACAGTGGACCTGACCTCAAGGGAAGTGACCAGATTGCCCTGCTAACCTCTGATGCCCCAAATTTTCTCACCACTGTGGAGGAATAACAGCATCTCAAAAGTCCAATGTGTCCAGAGACCTCAGCTCCATATTCCTTTCATACCAATTTCTCAAAGAGGCGTCTGCACTGGCCCTAATACTGTGGTCATGTTAATGGCAGAGAGCAATCGAGGGCAGATGAGCAGCACAGCAGGGACCAGGCCTCAGCCTTGGGGCTCCAGCGTGGACCCCAACTCGGGACAGGTTTTGCTGACTTCCACTTCCAGGGAGCCGAAACCCAAAATGCACAAAATGCAGTAGCCATTCTGACTCAACAGGCACACTCCTGAAACCCAGCACAAAATCTCGGATATGGAAAACCAACTTCTGTAAGCAGGATTCAGGGAATCAAAAGGAAGCAAGCAAAAATACACAACAGCAGGTAGTTGTCTTCAGGGGTGCCACTAAAAGGGACCTGGAGAAGACAACGCTGGACTGCCTGGAGCAGGGGCGTGTCACCCCCCAGCGAGATGAACAACCTGCCCTTTGGTAGGGAGGCACCGCATGTAGGTGCATTTAAAACGCAGGGAAGCTCTCCTTGCAGAAAGCCAGTGTGCACCCTAGGTCTCCCAGGGTTGCAGGTTAAACCCTTTTCCTCAACTCCCCAGGAACCCTCCTGCCTAGGTCGGCTGTCCTGAGGGTAAATGCCAGTACTGTGGCCAGGAGGATGTACTCTTTCTGCTATAAATGTCTGTTATTTAAACCAAAGGGAAGATGCACCCTTCAGAGCTCACCTGCAGGGACCCACCTCCTCCAACCAAACCCCACCTTCCTACACTTAACTCCCAGTCAGTCCATTCACAGTAAGATGGACTGACAGAGTTACACCACCCATAGCCCAGTCATTTCCCTCCTGAATACCCCTACATTGGCACAGGACCTCTGAGGACACCTCACATTCAAACCACATCCTTTAATACGCTCCATGTTTTAAGAGCCAGATGCATTTCAGGTAGGGAGCCTACCCCAAACTCTCCTTCCACCTAGGACTGGCATTCCCCCCGTGGTCATCCATGTGGTCTTGATTCTTCATCACACAACTCGATCCTAATGATCTCAGACAGCATCATCCACTGGATGCCTTCATGATTGGACCTTGAGAACATTCCCCAAGGAAAGTGGAGAAACAGCTGCACTGTCTCAATAAAGATTAGACACAATGATAAGAGCATGGTCTCCCAGATACTATGTCACACTGCCCCCAAGCAGAAAGTAGAAATTTGCGTTTTTATAAAAAGAAAGAAAGAGCCTGTTATTTAACTCTTTATTCATACATCATTTCAACTTTGCAGATAATTAGCAAGAAAAATAATAATACAAATAATTCAAATGAAACCTAAACCTAGACTAACCTCTGATTAACCCTGCACCTTTTTTTATATCCTCTCTCTCCACTATACCAGAACACCTCATGACCATTTCTTCTAAATATCCACTATGTATTTTGTAATGATATGAATATTTTCCCCTAGAAGGAGAAAGTTCTTGTCAACTTAGGTATATAAGGTGGATCCAGGGGAGCTGCATGAGGACCCTGAATGAACAAGCAGTGGACAGAGGAGGCTCACCCCTGAGAGGAGCATAGGGGTGCAGCACTGTGGAATAGGAGCCCAGGAGATGGCACCAGGAGATCTTCATCATCTGACATGGAGAGAAGGAGAAACCATGGAACCCAAATCCCCTACTTTACTGTTTCCTGAAAGACAGGTCCCACACTCAACATTTTCCTCAGAGCCCCAGTGACATCCTTGTTCCTGAAACTGTAGATTAAGGGGTTCAGTACAGGGGTGAGAATGGTGTAAAACACAGACACCACCATGTCCTTCTGAGGGGTGTGGTATGAGCTGGGGAGCATGTAGGTGTAGACGGCAGCACCATAGAAGAGTGTGACCACCATCATGTGTGAGGAGCAGGTGGCCAGGGCCTTCCTCCTGCCCTCTGCTGAGTTCATCCTGTGGATGGTGAGGAGGATGCAGGAATAGGAGCCTGAAATGACTGTCACAGGGATGAGGAGCATGAGGACACAGCACAGGTACATGAGTGTATCATAGAGCAAGGTGTCTGAGCAGGAGAGCTTCATCACAGCAGGGACTTCACAGAAGAAGTGCTGGATCTTCTGGGATCTGCAGAATGGGAAGGTCATGGTGACAGGTGTCAGCATAAAGCCATCCACTGATCCCAGGAACCAGCGGCCAGATGCCAGAAGAAGACACACCCTGTGGTTCATGAGCATAGGATAATGGAGCGGATGGCAGATGACCATGTAGCGGTCATAGGCCATGGCTGCCAGAAGGAAATATTCTGAACCACCAAGTGTCAAGTAGAGGAACATTTGCATCCCACATTCTGGGATTGAGATGGTACTCACATCCAGCACCTGGTCCAGAAGCATCTTTGGCACAGTGATGGAAATGTACATCATGTCCATGAGGGACAGCTGGCTGATGAAGAAGTACATGGGGGTGTGGAGTTTGGCACTCGAGTGTATCAGGATGATCAGGACAGCATTTCCAGACAAGGCCATCAGGAAAATCAGAAAAATGACCACACAAAGCAGAGCTGGGTGTTGGGATTGCCTGAAGAGTCCCACCAGGATGAAATCTGCCCACCCTGTGTGGTTGGACATCCAGGTGGTGATGTCCATGAGGTTCCACCTTGGCCACCAAGAAAGCTTTGAGTTAATGTTGTACAGAGGGCTGAAGTGACTTCTTAGCTGCCACACACCTGTGCACCAGTCTGATTGTGCCAACCAGAGGACATACCAGAGCCTGCAGATCCTAGCAGTTCAGATGACCTGTAGTAAATAATATATTTTAAAAAGTATCTAAAAGCTCACTTGTGGGTGAAGTGAGTTGGTAACTTGTAGTGAGGTTGCAACAGTTCAGGTTCATGAGCTTCCTGAAAAAAGGAGTTTGTCAATGACAAGCGCATATTTTTAGAATTATTGCTCAAAAAAGTAGGGGACATTTGAAAACAAGGGGAATCACTAATTCCTGAGTTTAAATTATTCAAGTGTGAAATAAGTGTTAATATTTCTGGTTTAACAATCTGGTTTTAGCTGGCATCTAAGGACTCTCAGATCTATATGGTATATTCGAAATGTTTAACAAGTTGCTGAGACATAATTCATGAAATGCACATTTAACATTTGAACCCCCAAGCCTATAGGACCAGGATATGTGGGAGGTTCTGTGAGTCTGGGATGACTCTGCTGTTCTCTCCAGCACACTGCAGTCTTCACACAGGACCAAATCTTTTGAGACCTGAGGGGCACCCACCCATAAAGATCCAAGGTCATGAGTGGTTTTAAACCTTGACTCTTGCTACCTCTGACCTCCCCTTTCTTGTCCACTCTGCCGGAGAGATGATGAGAATGACACCTGACACCAGGTGTGGTGAGGATGAAGTGAGAAAAACAAATGAAAGTTCCCTGAATTCTGACTTTGACAAATGAAGAAACAGGCGTGCTATTGATTGACATCTGCACTACCCACTCTTCAGAACCTGTCCTAGACCTGGCTGTCACTGCTATTGTACAATGAGATACCATCCTTCATTTCTCCAATTTGGGTACCTATTTATGTATCCAATACTTGATTTTTAAGATTTCATGAGAAAAGACCTGCAAGTAAAGCTTACAATCAAGTTTAAAGAAAAGTATTTGGATTTGACAACTTTTATGTTGTGTTATTTATTTTATATAAAATAAAGAAGTTTTAAATATATATTTAAATAAATGTAAATATGAACAACTGTCTGAGATAGTTATTGGTATGACCTTCACTATGCACAGCTTCCTGGAAAAGCTCTTATGAAAAATCAGCCCAGCCAGGGCTCCTCCTGGTCCATCTTCAAGCTCTGCCATTTGCACTCAATCTCAGGTGCAGAACAAGCATTCGGGGATCACTGCTATACATCAGAAAGGCTTTGGCTGTTTTGCCAACACCATCTGCTTTATTGACAGTCACAATCAGTTTTCAGGAACACTGAGAGAGAGTTAACAGAACCGCATGGAGAGGTCTCAGGGGCAGCTCACTGTTGCCTGCTTTGTCTTGATGCTCAGCACCTCTGTGTAGACGCTGAACACAAGTCAAGGGCTTGTTAACCTTGTCTGCACTTCTAGAGGTCATTTTCAATCTCTACAGGGGAAAACAGCATCCATAATATTTGAGGCAGGATTTTTATATAGTGACAAAATAAGTAAAAAGGGCAATGAACATAAAATGTGCCCCACCTTTCTTAAGGAAATCAATAGTGGCTTCTTCCACATTTTCTATTAAGGAGATTAAACCTTTCCAATCTTCTGCCTCTGAAAGCTTAACTGTTAAATTTGATTCTCTATCAGCCTAAGGGTCTGATGTCTCTTCTCTCTAGAAAGACTAACAGTAGCTAGAATACAAAGGTGTTTTTTTAAGAAAGGAAAGTTGAAGCACATTTTCTCCCTTGTAGTATTTCCTAAATCATATGTGATAGTTCACTTTTGACAGCCCTTGCTGGGAGGCACTGAAGCAGTGGACACACTACATGGCTTCTGATGCTATAGCCCTAGGGTCCAGCATGACTGAGACAACTGCAGAGGTGGACAGCAAGAGAGGTGCAGGCACAGGGACAGAGATGGTAGGTGGGTAGGGGGTAGTAGGTGGATGATAGACAGAGGAGAGAGACATGATAGACAGATAGACTTCCTGTCCATGAAATCCTAACCTGTTGGCAGATGAAGGCTGAGCTCTTTGGAGAATTTGAGATCTTTCTCATGAACTGAAATCACACCTTCTGTCCCATCAACCTCTGTGGACAAAGTGGAGCAAGGAATGGACACAAACAGCTGCAGTGAAGACAGGGACAGAATTTTCTGAGAGGACAGAGGGCAGAGGGGGCAGTGAGGGAGAGGCTCTGACACTATTCTGGAGCTCAGAACCCCAAGAACAAACAGGACCAGGGACCCAGTCTGCTCCATATCCTGGGCCTGTCCCACCTGCTCTCTTACTCTTCTCTAGGCACCTGCATACATTTCATGAGAACAGCCTGATGCACTTTTAACTTGGGGAATTGGTGACAATTTTTGTAGACAAACACAGAGCCTCCTTATTAGCCAGCAGCACCCAGGAATTGCTGACCACTCTCTGCCTTCCCTAGAGCCTCTGAGGTCCTACTCTTCTTATTTCCTCCTAGTACAGACTGACAATCCAGGGTCTCAGGGTCTCTGCCTAACATCACACAAGTGATTCGAGGGAGGGCCGTATCCCACCCCAGGGTGCAGCAGAGCACCTCACTGCCTCAGTGTCCTTGGAAAGCAGTGTTCTCCCTCTGCCATGGACAGCTCAGGTCTGGTCCACCCACTGTGTGTGTCATCAGGGAAAAATGAACATGCTCAGGACACTTGCTTCCAGCATTGCTGTGACCTCAGGAGTCAACTCCATGTGAAGCAAGGACAGCCTTTCTCCCTCTGCAAAGTTGCAGTCTAGGGACAACTAATGCAGCTTTCTACCATCTGAAGCATAAGAAGGAGTATATACTAGTATGTCCAAAAATAATCCAAAATAAAAACATATTTCTTAAGATGTTGCAGCAAATAAATTCTGTATGAAAATTCGAAGATGAGAACACATTTCTATTTGTCAGAAAAACAGGTGATAGAGAAAGATGAGGAAATGCCATGAGGACCTAACAGAGCACCTCAACAGCAGGTCAGCAAGCCCTGCACAGCCATGGCCCTGGGCTCCAGGGCCACCTGCCTGGCTGAACTCACCTCAGAGGAGGCTGTGCCTCACCCAGATGGCCAGGGAGTGTGGCCTGGATAAGTCACCAGGAAGAGGAGGGTGGCGTCACCCCTGGTTTAAGATGCTCACAGGGGACTGGATGAGACATGTCTGTTCACACATCCTCTGGGGCCTGGAGGACACTGCAGTCAGAGCTAAGGAAGCAGCAGAGCTCTCTGGGGCACAGCTCTGGGTCATCCTCATCCTGTCCTGTCTCCCTCTTTGTTCAACTCCAGAATTCACCGATGTTAACAATCCTCTCCACTCTCACCCTGTCTACAACACCTGACCAGTGACATGTAGGAGGAGTTAGTCTGATTGGTTTATCAAACACACTGTGTGTGTGTGTGTGTGTGTGTGTATGTGTGTGTGTGAAAAGCATCACCTCCTCAGTGTCCTGGAAGCCTGGAAAGAGTCCTCCTCACAGGTCCACCTCACTGTCTTACCTGTCTGCTTGTGCTCCTTGTTTCCTGTCATTCACTGGCCATCTAGGCCATTGTAAGTTAGAATTTAATTTTAAAGTATTTGTTTTTATTTCAACTACTGACATGAAAATTACTGAGAAGTCTCAAAGCACAAACTGTTTCATTGAAAATTTAAATGGTTACTGTAATATATTTACCCAGATAAAAATCATGCTTTAAATGTTAAGAGTGGAGGTGTAGCTCAGGGATTATGGCTCCTGCTGAGCATGCATGAAGCCCTGAGTTCAATAACTAGCTCTGCAGTAAAATGAAGTAAATCCTATCCTGCCTACAAACTACAAGTGCTTCAAATATCTGTTCAGTGTACACCTGTTGTAGCAGCTACAGTGAAATAGAGGAAGACAGAAGCAAGATCCTTCAACATCTATTTTTAATAGTTCCTTCTCAAAATTTGCAGTGAAATTCTTCTCAACTATTTTTTTAATCTATGTCTGAAACAATGCTTATCATTTACCCTGACATGGAGGTCTTGTGACAACCTGGGTCCACATACACACACACTGTTGGCCAGGCTGCCTCCTGAGCTGTACCTACCTGTGACCTGCAGGGCTTCTGCCTGTAGATGGCTCATCCTGCCTCTTTGCCCCTTGGTTTCCTGTAACACTGTGGGATTCAGCCCTGGAGTCCTGTCAAGTGTAGGAGAAACTAAGAAGCTAGGACTTCTCTCCCTGTCTGGAGATGGTCTGTTGCAGCTGAAGCACCTGGGCACAACAGGAACCCTGTTGGCTCCAGACTCCAGCATCCAGAAGGCATTTTGTGTTCCAGCAGCACTTCAGGACATGGGAACCTGGGTCTGTATGGCATAGTGCCTGTGGCTGGGCATACAGTCTCCACACTCAGTAGAGAGCACACAGCAGATGCAGAGGGAGGATTGGGGTTCTTAGCTGACAGGCTCCCTTCTGCTCCACCAGCCTCACTTAGGTCATGGCCACTTTGTAGCCAAATCCTTGCATGAAGTCTCTTCAGCTTGAAATTTGGGATGTTTCTTTTATTAAACTGATTTAATGTGGTTACTGTGTATCAGGTGATTTAAACAGGAATGTAGTCCTTTCCTAAAGGTGCAGTTTTCCCATGCTCAAATCCATCAATTATAAACTGAGCTGAAATAAAAATGCTTATGCAGAAATCACTATCTTGAAGACATCAACCAGTTGCAGAGTTTATTTTGTAAAGTAATTCCCTCCAGGGAATAGTCATCCAAACATTTAGATATATAGCAATAAGTTGCTTTCTGTTAACCACCAAATCATGCTACAACATCCATCTGGAATATGGTATTTCTACACCAGCCTGGAATATGGTATTTTTTCACCTTCGTCAATTTGTTAGAGTTATCATATTTGACTTGCATTTTTTGCTTACTAATATATGTATATGATTTTCATGTTTTTCCATGTAACTACTGCTTTATGGAATGACTATGTTCTTTGCACATTTTTTTCTAGTGAAATCTTTTCTTCATAACTATACAGTGATATACAATGCTTTATATATTCAAATCAGTAACTGAGCAGTATGGACTACAACATTTAATTTCAGT